TGGGGAGAAAACGCATGACTAGATTTCACGCCTCAAACTCGGATGTGTAGCGCAATGGAGAAAGCAGTATTGAACTACCAGCACGCTTTCGTGTGCCAGCAACCAAAACTGGCGCACGAAATTGCATGGTTAATGGTTATAAGAACTGAACTGAACTGAACCAGCAAACTGAGTGGTGTGTGTGCGTTTGCCAAGAAATACGTTTTCATACGACTGTTTTGTGCTATTCTACAGCCAACTTCAATGGTACGAAATGATTTACTTTCCTTAAAACAGATGCCCACTTCTCTCAGTTGCTTGCAAGGAAAACTCAAATTGTCTGGCATCACACGGTGGAATGTACATGACAAGTACAATGCTTTGAAATTGCGAAATTTATTTACCCTCAATGGACTACAGCTCAACCTCCAAATACATGCAAGAATGCTGGATGTGCACTGAACGCCAATTTGCAAGAAAGCATTAAAATAAGGGGGAAAGAACATTTTCCCAGAAGCGGCTGAACTCATCCTATTGTGAACTGAGGGAACGGTCGTTGCGGAGTGAGAAGGGGTTCGATGATAATTCGGTGATCTACTTTCTCGGAAACGAAACAAAGCACCACGAACGTGAAAGAGGTTTAACCGGTACCCAGTAATCTCAATCAGACCCGTAAATGTGCTCCTGGGTTTAGGCGACAGCCACCAATTGAATACACAATACAAATGACAGGTGCGCTTTTGTCCCCACAACAAAGAAAACTTAGATGCATGACCCAGATCCCCAGATTAGATCTATGAATATGAATGTACGAAAACATACAAGGTGCGTAATCGTTAGTATTTATTCGTTTGTTATAACAGCCGAGCTGGAAAAAAGCTAGAGAAAAAAGGAGAACACGTACTGCGCAAACGCTCGCATATAAGAAGTTACGAAAAAAGTTAGCTGGGAGAGCGCACATATACGTAAACAAAACGACCGTATGAAAGCGAATCGGAGATGCTGTTGTTATCCTCATGGCGGATGAGAAATTCACGCACAGAGAGAGAAAAAGGGAAACACTCGCAATGGCTGTGATCCCAAATGAGGCTGATGGAAGCTTGGGTTTTCGAACCGGATGAGGCGATTGGGGATGAAAGGCTTGTGTGCCTGCTGGTCAGAATCACAATGCCCCCGGTGGTGTCAGTGTTTGATCGAGGAATCGACGCTTGCCGAAACAGATCCAGAACTAGGGGGGGGGAGGCAGACAGAGAACAACGGAATGAATTGTGTGATCAAGCGAATAGAGGTGTACAATGTCTGAAACGTAATCCAACTCTCCCTCCCCGCCCATGCACAGACAGGAACGATGCATAATCCCAGTTGTTGAAAAGGAGGGAGAATGACGGAGTGAGAACAGTAAGACTCAGTTAAAATGGAATATAGCACTTCTATTCCTAGTCTGAGCGACCTTGGTCATTCCGATGGTAGGAAATTTAAGATATGGTAAGAGGCCCAGAAGGAAGGGGTGATGATTGGCAAACTATTGATTCCTGAAGTGCAGTTTCAAAAGAGAACCCACTAAGCCACTGGACTAATCAACATTTGGTCTGGTCCAGTCACTTCTCGCCAGGTGTACACACACAACTACAGACGATGGTGCTAAAAAATATAAAAGTGACGAAATTGTCGGTGTTTACATGGCGGGTATAAGAAAACTCATCAGAGCAGACAGTTCTGTTTGTTCTAATCTACTGCTTTCATCAGCAGCATTTTGATAATGCAAATGTGGAAATGCAGTGCTCTGAACTGTGTTAAATGCGCCTCCATCTCCAGTCAAATAAACGAAAAATGAAAGACGAGATCGAGATGTGTACGTATGAGTACCGGTTCAGTTTTAGTTTCACTTTCTACAACCATTGACTATAAATCCCATGGGGCGGTTTTGGTTGCTGTTTTTGGCTGCTCACATGTATGAAACAGTAGGAGGAAGATTGGAATGTTGAAAACAGTGTAAGCTGATAAAAAAGAATTCGTGTAGATCAAGGTTGCAAAAACATTGAATAAAGTGCCACCGTCTATGACACAGTCATACCACTTAGTGTCACTAACCATCCGTTGAGATTATCCCACTTCAGGAATCCTCACGCGACCTATGTAAGCAAGTCTCTTGGTCAGGGTTTTCCATACTCTCATGCCAGGTCTTAGGTTGATAAACCTTCACTTTTAGTAACTCTACTGTGGAAATCTATTCAGTGGCATACATCAAAAAGGCCCCAAACAGCGTAGTCTATGGAGATCGAGCATATATATTGTTATATATATATTATTGTGACGAAAATATATATACAAATATATATATATCATAATAAATAGTATGTGAATGACTGGACAAAATTTCCCTGGAAGCATACGACCGGTTTCGCGGTTCTTGACGTTCGTCAGGCATTCGCATACGGGAATCTTTTGTCTAGTTATTCACATACTTGTACCCAGGAAGTGTATTTTCGTCACAATAACCTTGTTTGCAACGCCGGGTAACCATTGGATAGACAGCTCTTTCAGAGCCAGTCCAATGAAGAATCAATGCTATGATTCGATGTTTTGTAACACCGACAAACTAACTTTATCTTGTTTTCATAATGACATAGTCTCTGTAATCCATGACAAGACTGGCTGAACCGTTGCACCAAAGATGTCTCAAGCTGGCAAATGCCAAATGGCTGTGCATGCCTAGTTTAACTGAGAGCCAATGTAAACGCAGTCCGGAACGGGAGACTTCGAAACACAACCGCGCTGAGGAAAACCAAACAATTCACATTTTTATTAGTCAGCCCTACGAATTCTCCATGAGTTGAAACGTTCGGACGCACAATGCAGCTACTCCGACCTTGATGGGTCTCATCACCAATGCGGCTTCATTATCCTGATAGAGGATCGCAAACCCGGGACTTCCCGGATAGAGCGCAAGCGCAGTGACAACAGTTGATCACGAACCAGCGCCCCGTTCAAACTGTTTTCATTTTGTCTATTTTCGAAACAGCTTGAAACACTTTTGCAAGGTTGCATAGTTGGCTTTCTTGTGGACAAATGAATGTGTATGTTTACCACTAGTATTTTTAATTATCAGCCTTCCTGGGAATTTCTCACGTGACTCCAAACTATCGAATAAAGAATGTATTTGGTGATGTACTAAAGTTCACACTTTAATATCACCGGTCCACGAGTGGGCTCTTTCGGCTATGCAAAAACAATAGTGCCAAACATTTGGAATCGGTACACCTTGGATAAGGGCAACGCATATTTCGCCGCCGTCCATTGGAAATGAGTCTACTTGAGTCGCAGGAGACCGAAAGGTCACCTAAAACACATTCTAGACGAGTCATGCGTCACTGCGAAGGCATAAAAAGCTAATTCATTCTTCAAATGCGATGGAAATGTTTGTGATAACCAACAAAGAGCACTGCAGACCTGTTTCGTCCTGTTTGGGACTCGTCAGCAGTGCGTACTTTTTGTGTCCCTGTCAGGACTCGAACCGCGATTCTTCGGGTTGGGACTTCAAACTCTTATCTTCGAGCTACACTGTCGGCGGTTACCACCTTGTGCGAATGGGTCAATCAATTTAGAGTGTCAAGCTTGGATTAGCCCATCCGATTTTTCAAGAGTGCCGGGTGCCTTCGAAAAATCGAATTGGTTAATCCAAGCTCGATAAACGATAAAACGTCAGTAGTACATATCCGCCAAGCTAGAATGGTCTCGAACCCGAACATCTGGGTTGTCAGTTCTATAGGTTACGATTAAGTTTCCTGGACTGGTTCCAGTGGATGGTTTAACGTCAAAATTACACGAGAGCATGCGATTGAACTGCAGCTAGGACCAGCATCAAGACAGAGATGGACTACTTGATCCCGGTCATATCAGCGGTGACGGAATCAGACTGATTGAATCATCATGTGATATTAATATTTCACACATACAACTGACTTCATTTCTGATCGAGTAAAATAACTCGCCAGTACCGTCAGATAGAGAATACACTTATGCGAATGGTTGGAGATGGGTCACGTTTCCTTTGCATCTCGTGAATAGCTCCTACACGACCGACCAAGCCTCGAATGAGGAAGCCCTACAAACTAAAAGCAAGCGGTGAAGGTACTTCCCTACGCAAGTGAGAGGACGAAAACTCAACATTCGAGGCTACAACCGAGTCAGGGAACCACTCTGATAGTTCACTTAGAGGAGTTAGCTAAAAACTCTGATGCCAGACAAACTAAAAGGAAACCTATGAACCACATACACACACAAACACACACCTTGCTTGTAGCAGTGGTCTTCGGAGTGCTTTTTGTTTGAACAACCATTAACCACGCATATTCGAGCGCCGGTTTTGGTTGCTGTCTTTTGGCTGCCCATTCGGATGAAGAATAGGAGAAGAAAGGAAAGTTGAAAGTGGAGTCGAAAAGAAAATGGAGAAGTTCAGTGGTCTAAGTTTGCAAAGAAATTGAGGAGATGCACGAACGTCACTGTTTACGACACCCAGCCATATCACTCAGTGTCACTAACCATCGGTTACGATCATCCCGAGGTCCCCAGCCAGGGAGCCTGACAGGACCTATGTGACCCAGTTTCCTGGTTTGGGTTTTCATACCCTCGTGCCAGGTCTTGGTTTGACCACCCTTGGCTTTTTTCCACTCGGTATCCGCTTCGGCGAACATCGCTCGCCGTGGTAACCTACCTGGTGACATGCGTAACACGTCCCAGCCAACGTAATCTATGGAGGTCGACCACTTGCTCCAGTGGGCGACCGTATTTACCCAAAACTCTGCCCCTAACCTCAGCATTGCTATTCGGAGTGACTCGGTATGGAGGTGTGCTGGTGGTCCACAAACATTTACAATTATACCAGGGAAGTTCAAACGCCTCTTCATTCAGCTACGCAAACTCAAACAATTCCAAACCCCACGGTCAGTTTTGTTCTCTTCGGTTCACCAATGAGTTTTCATCATTCCACTCTACTGCTCCCCTGTAGTGTTTCCCTGCCTTTAGAAATAAAACTTCATAACGATTCGTCGTGGTTTAGTGATAATCAGCCGTGAATCTTTGACCCGTCGTTTTATTATTGACAGAACTTATTACTAGTCACATCAAGTCTTGTATTAAATTTACCAATAAGAATCTAGATGACCTTCCTCGTCCATTGACTGCATCGTGATCTGTCCACTTATAGTTCCCCTCCATTCACACGCTCCTCCCTCCGGTATCTATCTCCTCGTATAACCATTTATAAGAATCCCACTGTGCCCTACCTAACCCGGTATCTAAGCAATAAGGAACATATCGTTAGTGAATTATGTCACAATTTATTTAGACAAAACAAACTTCAGTGGCACTCTTCAATTTGCATGTTATACGGAAAGGTACATTTTATTAATTGTGACGACCAGTGCACGCTTTTAATTGAAATGTGAGCAATATAAGGTTACGCAACATATACACATATGAATACACCTTGTACATTCAACCCCGTCCATAGGTCGTATGTATGCTTCGATGAATTGTTCTGCGACTCCCCGTGGAGTGCAGTTTCCAAACCCCACCCCGCTACCTTACCGGTTAGAATTTGGTTAGCCGAAGGCTCCATTAGCAAATTCTACGAGAAAATTTGTTCGCTATGTTCCAGGAAACCTGGCAGTATTCTGTCCACAAGAAGAGCATGGAAGGATTACCTTTGTCATAAAGATTGTTGCACTGTGACTGATTTGGTACACACAGAGTCTGGACTCAGACGCGTCTGAAATGTCATGATAGTGACAAGGATGAACAATTGCAACATACTGAAGTCATCAAAACATAGCCGACTGCTTACCTTGTTCGGTGGACTGGTGTCCGATGCGTAAACTTTGTCCAACAAACGAGTACCCACTTCCTGACGAATTTGCATCAGATAGTTGCGCATCGTATCCGCTTGGGCCGGGGTCTTCGGTTTCGCGTACAACGAGTTCAGTTCGCGTGGAAAATCTGGATCACCGGGAATGTCGAAACGTGCGATAGCCATCGAGTAGAGTTCTTTCGCAGCAATTGTCTTGTTTGGACACTAAAATCCAAGGGAAAACCGAAGCGGGATCAGGCATATTTGACGAGACGGAAAACGAAAAATAACATGAAAGGTATGAATTGGTTTAAAGTGATTCAAAGTGGTATTAAACGGAGGTAATTCGAGGGGTAATGGGGGCATAAAGGAAACTGTGACGATAGTCGCAGAGGACAGTTAGGACGCGCATGCCGAGATGAGACACACAGTAGTCTGCGATTACGAAGTAGGAGGAACTGGTAAAAGGAAAATTTAACTGTTGAGCTGGATTGGAAATTTTATGGATAGGCAACGCTTAGTTCAGTTCGTTTTGTACAACCATTAATGATGCACTTTCGTGCGCTGGTTTTGGTTGCTGTCGCATGACTGTTCATCCGAATGAAGGCGTAAAAGGAAGATAAGAATGTTCAAATCAGAGTCAGAATGAAAACAGAGAATTCATTGAGACTAAACTTCCAAAGAAATTGAGATGCATGAGCATCACTGTTTGCCACGTTCCTTGGCAAACATCACGTGCCGTGACATGCTTAACACATACTTCGGCTGGCTACTTGGGAAGGATAAGCCGGCTCCAGACATGATCATGATCATGAAGTGCCTTGGGATTTTGGTACGAGAGACGTGTCCAGCGTCACTCGGCGTTTTTTTATTTTGAGGGCGCATCTCTAGCCTTTGCACAACCAAGTGCGAACTGCAAGGTAGCAGGAAGTAATCTCTCGCCTCGGAAGTGAGGTTAATGCCTTTAGTTTTAGGAGGCAAGTCACATTGACCTTTCTCGCAAGACCGTCATTGGGCTTATGCGGCTCTTAAATAGGAGCCCGGTGACCAGCCACCCTGACCACCACACCCTGGTAGTGCCGCCGCTGTTTGTTCGCTACTGCTTAGTTGTTGTCCAAGACATTTTGTAAATTCCAGAATATGCCACTATGACATGGGAACACACACTCAGAGGCGAACAATTGTTTTTATTGATTCATCTTCTAGCCTGTACAGATTAAATAAGAAGATGAATCAATGAAAACAATTGTTCGCCCCTGAATGTGTATTCACATTCTGTAAAAGTCCTATGGGGCATGCTAAGCGTTAGCTTTGTTAAATCGACAATAAAACCTTGAAGATGGACGGCCACCCTGGGAGGTGAGGTGATGAGATTAAGCCCCAATAATAGACACAGTGAGGAGATAAGACCAACCAATTGGGAAGCTGATTATCACCATAAGAGGCAACAGAGAATCGATTAACCACAGTCTTGAAACGTTCAAATCATGAAAAAGAGGGTCACGCGTCAAAAGCAGGCAAGTCGATACAGGCAGCACGTAAAACAGATCAATAATGAAACCGTCGGAGAATCACCATGCTCCCCGGAAACCGTTTTGTTCTGAGACAACCAATCAGAACAAGGGTAGCCTGACTCAAGTGATTGGTCGGAATTGATAGCCAACGAAGACGGTTGACAACGATCCATTCAACCAATCGTTTTGTGTAGGCATTTCCATGTCTTTGCATGCAAAATAAATGAAACCCCTCACTCTTATTGCTGTTTTATTTCACTACCTATAGAATCAATATACGTGTGGGAGCGTTATCGGAAGACAATCATTTAGGAATCCACTATCGAGACTAATACGTGCGGTTATAACAGCAACTACTTCCGATGAGATTTTTTGTATGATGTTCCCCTCGGGGTGTTGCCGTTGGTTCTGATTGCCAGTCGTCATAGCTACACGAAGAATTAATGCGGACCGGCAGCTGCTTCTGCTTGACTTTACCGAATGGAAGCAAATTTGGGCCACAATTCAGATCAATACGGGGTCGATTGAGCACATAGATGCGATGTTATGGTCTATATAGCCACCATGAAGGAGGGACACGGGCAAAAAATATCTCATTCTGGAACAGAACTCACCTTTTGCATTTTCTTAAGGCACTCCAAGGTGTACAATATAATATAGACTAAAACTCGATCGGCTTCACTCTGCGAAAAACGACAAAAAGAAGACAGTTGTAAGGAAAGAAGATAGAGAAGACATTTCATATATTCCTGAAAGCAGACTGTGGTAAATAAATCTTGGGGCGAGCAATTTCATTAGACCATATTTTGGTGCGTGAAATACTGTCAGGTTGCCAGAAGCTAAACCAAGTGTATTTCTCAAAGATATCTAAACATCTATTAAGATAATCAAAAAACCTAAACCCTGGGTTTTGAAGGGTGGCTAACCGCATAAAGCTCCATGAGGAAAGGCTGTGAACGCTTACTTTGATTTCGTACTGACGGAAAAATATTAGTGGTTTGAACAAATAAAGAGCTTCATCAATGATATCCTTTTCCAAATCGGGCATCATTGGGGCCGGACCGCGGAATTTGGTTCGTAATGGTAACAGGGCCATGTTACCCACCGTGTCCGGTGCAGTGGTGAACTGAGAATGGTAGCTCTGAAGATGAAAATTGTTAGGGACCAAGAGAGAGAGAGAGACAGCAGTTCATTAATATTCTGTCTTCCTCAGTACAGCACGAGATAATACAGAAGAGGGATAGGGAGACTGTTTGACCATGTTTCATTCATAACACAAATATATTCTCCTTGGAAACTTCTATGAATGTATAGATTAATTCACTACCTTACAAACACGAAAAATTGGAAATTCAATGCGTTTTAAAAAAATTATCACAGTATCTAGGTTTTACGAGTTTGGTCACAAGCTTCCTCTTTCTCGCTTTCAGAAAGTTGAGTACTAGGGACTCTCATTTCACCCGACCCACCCCATCCCCGTCTTGAGTCACAAGTTACGTCTACATAACTATTCCCTGCTAGAACACAGGTCGGTCCCATGAAACGCACAATAACCCGCGGATATTTCCGGAATAAAATAGCAAAATAGCTGTCGGACACCAACACCTTCAACCTTCCGACTACACATTCCACTTCTCTTTCATACTCAACCTTAGTGTTTGTGCCTTTATCCACCAATCGGTCCCCACCTACAGAATACTAAATTCGCTGAAATTGAGCATTTGTTTGTTACGGATCCCAACTGTCATGTTACCATCAAGGGAGATTTCAAGGTTCATGATTAAGGATAATAACATACTCTTATGACTTCGTCTCTGGGGCTCGAAGCCGAATGTTTTACCTGGGTCACCATGGCCCAGGTAGTTGATCCACCTACATATTTCCGATCGAGTTGACGACTGTACTCATCCCCATTTTTATCTCTCCTGTC